GGGCTCTCTTCAAGCATTTCACATACTCAGCCAGTGTGCTTCTTTCTTAGCAATTTCAAAGCCTTGGCTTTAGCTTAGACATTTCAAACAACATCTGCTTTTAAGGCAGCACAGCAATGCTGAATGGGGTATTCTTACAACACAAAGATGAGAGGTCCAGCTTTCCTTCCTTCCATATTAAAAATAGGACAGTAACTCTATTGTCCAAGAAACAGATTTAAAAAGGATAACAATGTGAATTAGCGTTTCTGGAACAGATGCTCTTCTTGTCTGTACTGCAGGTCAGAGAACAGAAGCTTTAAATATTACCACATACTAAATGTATAAAAGAAAAACACTCTTATAATATTCTCTTCCTTATATCCTGAAATCTCTTTTACCTTGAAAGCAATGTGTGGTGCTGATCAAAGTACTCTTAGGGATAAGTGTGTAGAGAATAATCAGAGTACCTTCAGAGAGCTTATTACCAGAAGCATTCAGCATCTGAGCTTGGTTGCTAAATTCAATTGGCTCTTCAAGTTTGTACTTCTTCTGTGCACAAGCAGCAAGAAAAACCCAGCAAGTTCTGTTTGTATCCATGCTGTAAAGGGAAACTTTGAAGAGCAGGTGAGGAATGGCCACGGCTTCTTATAAACCCAACCACGCAATGATCTCTAATCAGCACTGAGCATTGAGGGAAGTACTGTGGAAGTGCAGAATACATACAGAACCCAGAACTTTGTAATGTAAGGAATGTAAGGAAACCCATCATTGACTATTGAGGAAATGAGAGTTACTCTGAGGAGCGGAGATGGCAAAAGGTCCTCACAGGGTGCTGTACAGCAGCATGGGATGCACAGTGTTGGGGTTGCAGTGACAGGTTGGGAAGGCTGTATTTGTAATGGCTCTTTCAATAGAAGGCCAGAGAGTTGGATAGGATGGGAAGGAACCTGGACAAGTGTTATTTTCATCTCAGATGTTATCTATTAAGAACACGAAAGCCTCCTTTTTAGGTGTTGATCATTTGAAAGTCTATTCACCATTCTTAACAAAGCTCAATCGCTCCTGGTTACTCAGACTTGCTTTTCCTCATCTAACATGAACTCCCTGCAGTGAGAAAGTTTAGACAAACACATTTGAGAACGTCAGAACATTGTTTAAAGATTTGTGGTGAGAATGAAAGTGCGCAGAGCTGCCAGGTTACGGCTCAATCAACTGAAAACCAACCCTTGGCAGGATTAGTGCCACATACCAGCACCAGAGAACTCATTAAAACCAGAAAATAATATAGGTACCTCACATTGTAGGTTTAAAACTTCTGTAATTTAAAACTAGCGTGGATCTAATGTTCCTCTCAGTTTCTGCAGGGGAAGACAAAATCCAAAAAGAATATCATGCTGTTAGGACCCAAGTTTTTATGATGAGTGATGCTGGAGGAGCCTTTCCACCTCCAAAACTGCACCGATGGAATTAAGGAGGTCACTTCCTCTGCTTACTTTTCATAAGTGAATTGTACAAAGTTGGAGGGTGCCTGTGCCTGAAGTCACACAGCTCAGCACACCTTCTGATCACAGTTAAATGGACAAGAAGCTGTCAGCACACACAGCTAAACGTTCACAACTACAAACCATAGGATCACCAAGCTTGGAAAAGACCTCCAAGATCATCCAAGTCCAACCACCCACCCACCACCAGCAGTTCCCTACTCAACCACGTCCCTTAATACTGACAAACTGTTTCTGGAGCAGTTCCTTAAGATCTACTGATGGCAACGATTTAAAAACATTCTTGGTTCATCAGCTGCTCATTGGCTGTAAGCCTCATTAGAAAGCTCAAGATGCAAAAAGCACAACTTTGTTCAAACTGGGAATATGCTGTATTCAAAACCTACCATAAAAACACATCCATGTCAAAATTAACCAGACTCATAAAAAAGCAAAAAGCACATCCATCAACTAATGACAGCCACTTTAAACATGTTCTAGTGATAAACGTTCCTTCCTTATTCCATTCAATGAAAAAAGATCCCTTAATCCGCGCAGAGAACAAAAAAATTAGGACAGCAAACAAGAAAATTCCCCAAAATACTTAAACACAGCTTTCTTCCAGATTAAAGAAAAAGCACAGAGTGCCTCAGGAAAATACATAATAAAAATGAATGTTTTCTAAACTATCATATGGGATTAAATGTCTTTTGGAAACAGCCAGCAGAGAGCAAACAATGCATCCATGAGTTGCATTCTGAAAACCCCCACAAGTCAGGGCCATGCTCAGTGTCAGCTGACAGCACACCATGAACACAGATGTGTTTTGCTTTCCAGACAGAGGGCAACGAATGGCAGGCATGCTGAAAAAGGGCTGAAAGTTTGCCTTTCTTGTCCTCTCGTACCTCAGAACCAACCCAGATTCCTCTGCGCAACTCCAAGCCATTCAGAATTCTGCTCCAGACAACGAAAGCGAGCTGATGGGCACTGTAACTTTTGCCTTTTGCTGCTGAAGAAAACAAGTCTGCAGAGCCGAGCTGTTACTCTTCATTGCTTCCTTTTTTAATAATTTAATCTGTGACATACTGCAGGCTATGCTGCTTAGCATTCCTGCTGTGTGAGCAGGCCTCTCATCTCCACGAGGGCAAGAGAGGTAAGCCTGGGGATTACGAATCTGATCTCTCCAAGCATTCATCAATCTCCAGGAGATTTTTAATGGATGACTGTTCTAAAGGTCTGAAGAAAATCAGATCTGAGGACGTTAATGGATTAGCCATTTCCTCACAATTTACATATACAGCTGTGTAAAAGGCCAACATCACATTTGTCTGGGCAAATCCGTGCCAAAACCACCAAGGCAAAAAGGGCATAAGACAACAACCTCCCTCCTAATGCTAGAAACTTCGCTCCTGACACAGGGAATGCAGAGCTGTATGAAATATGAACAGAGCCCACAGAGGGCATGCTCCATACACAAGCCCTGCCATTGTAGCAACACCCCATTTTCACTTGGGACATTTAAGATTATCTGAACATGTCTCAGTCTTTCCTGACTTAAATTCTGGGCCAACACATTGTAAGTGTGAGCATGCAAAGTATTTTCCCCTCTCTGGTAGCGTAAGCTTTTCTACCTCATGCAGCTTTAAAGCTCTGCAATGAAAGCTCAGAGAAGAGTTTCTGTAATAAATACTGAGTGATACATACATTGTATACTGTTACAAATGCAGCCTTTTCTGATGACGTTGTGCATACCAGATTGTGCTCATGAATGCCCAAAGTATGCCTGCTTTCATAGAAATTCCACAAAGTTTTTGGGGTTAAAAAAAAGAAGAAAAAAAAAAGATCTTTAAAAATACTTCAATTTCCATTGAAACAATACAGGGTAATTTGAATCACCCTGAGCAGCATCTGCACCATAGTAATTTTATCACTTCTATTTGTGCCATTCCTCCTCCTATCAGCCATATTAAAACCGAATAAAGAAATGAAAGTTGACAACCTCCTTTTTCATCCTTTCCCCTGGTTTCCACCAAAGCAGCATATGATGTGTTTTACTGGCCTTCTTACTGGCACTCCAACATGGAAAACAGCTACAGGCTGTTTCCGAAGACCTCAGTGAGCATACCTTGCATTCAGCCAGCTCCTATAGCCAGGGAGTTCTGGCTTTACATTCCACAGGCTCAGGATCTATCTCTATTCCTTGCATCATTAAGTTAGTCAGAGCCAAAGCTATTATCAGTGATGCCTCCTGCTTGCTGCCTTCAGTTGACTAATAAGACTCAGACCTTCCTCCCGCTGGTTTCACCAATCTGGAAGAAATAGTTAACTAGAACACAGCTTGTAAAACTGGACATTTTAGGATTTCCTTGTCATCAGACATTGATCAAAACTTGAGCACAAAGACTTCCAGATATTCCCTAATCCGAGGAAGCAGAGACCTTATGCTAAATTCATCTGATTCCGGAAAGCACGGAATAAATTTCCTCACGCAGAAGTCAAAAGGGAATGAAGATGAAGTTAATCAGGAAAGAGTTCAACAAGGAACTTACACAACTAGCACAATTACTTTATGTAGATTTAAAATTCATTTCAGCCCTATCTGCAATCTGAACGCTTTTTGAGAGTGATTCCTGAGACAGCTAAGTGCCCTTTCATTCTCCATTGACCACTATGAAGTGTTCCTCAGGAGCAGCTCACCAACACAACACACACACAGGACAGATGTCCAAGAATCTTTATGAAACACTGTATGGGCATCCAGACAAATTAAAGAATCTCAGGTTCAAATGCTTCCAAACAATATTTTTAGAAACCATCTTTGGTGCATGAGACTTTCAGTGGATCAACTTTTCAAGTTCAACAAAGAGCAGAATTGATCACAAGTTATTTCCATCTAAAACTCAGTGCCCCTTATGCCATCTTGTTTGTGCCTAAAACTGCCAACTAACATTCCATGTTGTAATATTTCCAATCATGTAAAATAGAGCAACTTTATAAGGCTAATTTAAAATTCTTGGACTTCATTAAAGGTGACATATCTAAAAAAAATCTGTTGCAGAAGAAGCTGACACTGTCCATTATTCTGCAAATTTCATATGAATTTACTTACAAAACTGTTAAGAGTTGCTAAAATAAATACTTTTCATTTGTGAGAACTAAAGGAGTGGGTTGGTGCAACAACTTGAGATGGATCAGTAGGTTCTATTTCCCAGAGATAGCATTTGTTTTCCTGAAACAACCCAGTGACAGAAAAATCCTTGAGGTTGCACTGCTACAGGGGGGCATACATTTTAAATTTTACAGGCAATTCTAATTAGCTGCTCTGTCTGTAAAGCTAGTATAGATTTTATCTAAATATATGTGTATATATATAATATATCTAAGTATATATATAGATTTTATATATATATATAAAATATATTCACTCAGCTTATTATTCATTCCTATCTGATGCTTGCTGTACAGAAGCTTCCAGCTGAATTTGGGTTTATTCCACCCTCCCATTTACTTTTCTCATGTAGTCTCAGACCAGCATACCTTCAGAGTTCAGCGTAATAAGAGTGACATTGTTCCCAATACTTTGGCTTCCTAATTGTCCGCTGTTGGAAACGGAGTCACTGGCCTCAGAGCCACTCTCTCCATCTTCGTTGTGACTGTCGTCGTGCCCTGGAACCTTCACCACTATGGTGTTCTGCCTACGTCCAGGAACAGCACTGCAGAAAAGAGAAGGATGTAACTTTGGGGAAACACAATCCTTGATCAGGAGAAACAGCAGAATGAAGACAAAGTTGCAGTACAACAGTTTATATAAATGTATTAAGAACATTTCCTATCCACAATCTCCAACTCCACTTAATTTTAACTATGCTCTTGATAGCACAAAGTTTAACAGCCTTGCTGGGCTGCTGTGTATTCTTTATTCAGTTGATTAAATACAGGATATTGGCACGTTCCCAAGCAATTATGTATCCATGCAAAAAAAAAAATACGTAGCTATGGGAACTCTTTCAGTTGTCATCTCTCAACCAACACTGAGCTCATCCCAGATCCTCTAAGATGTCCTCTGCACACCAGCAGCAAAGCAGTGCTCTGTACCTTCAAATGCAGGCTTTCTCCAGGCAGGACTGATGCATTCATTTAGCACTTGCTGTTATTTTACCTTTTCCCCCCCCACCTAAAACATTCCTCACTTTCACTGGGAATTGCTGCAGACCGCTGCTGATCTGTCAAAGGAGGAAGAGAAGGGGGAGGATTCCCACAACTGCTACTAACTTGCTAAGGATATTTTCCAGAGAATCCGCTGCTCTGCTCAGTGGCTCTTCCTGCCCAACCATCTTGGCTACAATTGAATTCTGCCGGTCGTTGTTCAGTATTACAGTGGTCTGGGGAACAACACTGCAAGACAAAAGTCAGAGAGGAAAAGGGAATGTAAAGGAGAGAACCTTTAAAAGAAGACATGAACACAATCTCGTTGTTCAAGTAGCCTAATAAAGAACAAGGCTTAGAGGCAGTCCCTGTTCTTCCCCCCGCATCACGGTTACGTATCGAATGCTAAAGCTGGTAATCCATTGATTCCAAGTCCACTTGAATCCATGTCCACTTGACATCTGTATCACTTTAAGCACTCATAACTCTTTCAGAGGACAGACAGCTTCAATGGAGTTATATAAAAGTCCACAACCCCTGGAAAAGTGATAAAGAATCCATCAACTCAAGACACACAGGAGGAAGTCTGCAAACCACAGCTCCAGAGAGTCACCGAATTCTTGTTTTGAGAAGCCTGGAAGTGAACATTTTCAGAGCTCCTACAGCCAATTCACGTGATAAAGCATCCCTGCTAGCAGGACAATCCCCAGAAAAAGAACGTGATAATATTGACTGCAGAATCAGATATGGAATTTAGTTTAAAAGCGCATATTGTTGGGTTGGGGGCTCTCAGGGGCACGGAGGTGAGAGCAGCACTGAGGGCATCAGAATAGAACATCAAATAACAACGAGACTAAGCTGTTTCTTATATTAAATCTAAAACAACAGAAAAGCAGTTAGTAGCAAGGAGAAACCAGCAATGAGAAACTCTCTCATTAAAAAACAACACTAAGTCTGCAATACAATACAGAAGTAAATGTAGTCAGTAAATGTCTTCGACATGCAATTTACTATTTGATTTTGTTTCTGAGATTACCATCGTTGTTCCCACACTGTTACTCCTTGCTCTATCTGCTGAGCAAGGCATCGTTTTGATGTCGGAGCTGCTTTTGGTCATGGTGAAGTGAAGGGAAGAGAGAACTCCGAAGAGATGTTTGTGTTTTAGCCACAGTGAAGGCTTTCTTCTTTCTCTTTGCTCCACACAGTAAACAGACTGCTATTGTTTTTACTTGTCCGACATCTCAAACATAACTGATGGGCATTTATTTTTCCTAACTGTATTCCTTGGCTAATTGTTGAAAAGAAATATGAAAGACAAACAAATTAAACAAATGTGATGACAGCAACTCTGTTTATTTCAGCTGTAACAGCGCCCGCTCGCATGAATATTCATGTGTGCTCCTAAGACTTTAAGTCTTACAATATCCATCGTTAAGATCCAATGGAAAGATAAGAAACTGTCCTAAGAGCAAACAATAAATGGATCTCAACTTTGGCTCCGCTGAAGTGGCTGATATGGGGTTTTTTTGGAAACAAAAATCCCAGGGCCTAATGCCCCGCTCCCCCACTCCAGCAATTGGAATCGTTGCTAGTAACAAATGGGATTCCTTGAGGACTGCCAATGATCTGTTGGACTGCAAAGCTCGTGAAGCTCTGGAAGATGTTTGTCTAATCATGGACGAGTACAGAGTGTGCTATGGCTTCCCATGTCCATGCGAAGTTCAAGTTCTATTAAGCAATAAACGGGTTGGGATTTTTGCTTTATTTTAGTTGCAATCTGGAGCATAAAGGCTGACGACGTTTTCACAGTCACTTTTTCAACACGATCTCTCATTAAAAGAAACTGTGCACGTTACCAGACACCACATTCTCCTACTTCAGTAAAAAGGCAACTTGTATTTCCCCCAGTTTTAAGGCCAAACACCCACCAACTACTTGATCAAACAGGCAGCAGCATTGGCAGCTGCCCCAGCCCAGCAGCCACGTGTTCTTGTTTCATCCCCCACGTTGTCCAAATGGATGAAGTTTTTACAGGCCAGCTTAAACGGTCACAAATTTCACGCTTCCTATCGGATGTTATTAACACCATCTTTCCCCCAAACATTTGCGAGTACCTTCTTAAAATTTCACTCACCAAAGCTCGTTTTTAACGAGCGCTGAATAATTAATGGCATCTGTCGAGATAAATTCAATAAAGTTCCATTTATCAACTCCCTAAGCTTTGGCTCAAATTGAGCTCTAATTTAAAAAAAAAAATAGTCTTAGCACTAAAAATAAGGAAGTTTGGTTTGGTTTGTTTTTGCTTTTTTTTTCTTAAGAGAACATTCATTTTTAACAAAGACACTCTGGAGATGAAGCCAAATGGCACACACCTTATTTAAAGCCATCGTGAATGAGGAAACACTTTACTATAAACCATCAGCACACATTTACCCCTCCCTCAATGCATCAATATATGTTCAAGTTCACAGATTAAATCCACAATCCTTTCTTCCCTCCAAATTTACGCCTACAACAAACACCAGGTCCTCTCTGAGCATTGTCCTATTAACTAAGAGAGGTTAAGTTATTGAGAGGAAAAATCCACTATACGGTTGTTTGGGAGGAGCCACTAACTAAACATACCATTTTACTGACACTTCTTTTCCTGGCTATACAGCACAAAGGCAAAACCAGACACCACAGACACAAGGAAAATCTTAGTAACCAGTCACAGCAACAGCCAACTTGTCCATCAGTTGCTCTGCACTTGGAAATGAGCTGTTACCAAGCGGTAAGGATTCAGAGAATCAGGTTGGAGGGGAAACTGAGTCACACAAAGCACTATGGTAGAGAACAGCATCTGTTTGGGGCCGCTCAGCACAGCACACAGCAATCACTGATGGATCTTTCTCAGCGATTAACCTGAGTGGGAACTCTACATCTGGTTTCAAAATAACTGAATGAAGCTTCTTGTCCATTTCCAGGAATCACGAGGCGGCGGATAAAAGATCTCTTTCAGTGCTCTGTATTTAACACACACAGGCTCTGGTACAAGCCATTCCGTTCTACTTTGATCCTAAAAGAGAAAGATTATTATTATTTTTTTTTTTATGTGTAATGCTTAATTCCTGAAGACCGATGCTTCCAAAAGCAGATGACCTACGGAGGAGGAGGAGGAGGAAGAGGTTGCCTTTCTGTTCAAACCATCATGAAGGTTAACCCAGAAGCTATCATTCTAGTCCATGCTCTGCACGTCAGAGCGCTCCGATGCTGCTGACCAGATCTGACAACGAAGCATCACGAGGCAGAAAGTTCTGAGAGCTGATGCTGTGAAACCTGAGCAGCTAATTATCTGGAAGGAGAACAAAATAACAGTTGGGACCAATACAAAAAGGGAGGCCTGATGCTTGCCAACAGGATTTCAGTCTCAGTTTGTACACAGGCAAAACAGACAGGCACAGGATTCCCTGCAGATATGGGAATGCGCTCCCCAGTAAATTCCCTGTGAGATGTTCTATTGTCTGTTCTCAGTTTTGTTTATTTTAGGGAGGCAGCAACAAGAAATTTGCTGAACCTATACAACTTTAAACAAGGAGTTTATGTAGTCAAAACAGAAGGGGCAGCCTTAAAGAATCCAACAGAGGAAACTGTTAAATCCTATTACAGCCTACTGGGCCCACACAGCGAATTATTCCGTTCTCTTTTTTGTTTTCTTCTTTCAGACTGCAAATCTTATCCTGTAGATGAGTCTACTGTAAGGATTACTTCTATCATTACAATTATTTTATGCACTAAACGAAAATCACAAAGAAGAGGGAGGGCAGCTACCAGATCCCAAATGAAGCAATTCTTTCTACGAGTGCTGCCAGTACCATACTCATGAAAATGATGGAAAGAAAGTATTACAAGTACTTAAAGTACTAAGCATTAAAAGGGGTCAGAGGGAGTGCTTTGGAAACCCAGCATTGTTGCATGGGCTTCAGTAGTTTCCATTTATGTTCACGTATTCCTTTCCCCATAAGCATTAGAACTTGGAGAGACTGCTTCTGCAATTCTGTCTGTTCTTGGACACAATTTAGTAAAAAAAAATAATAATAATATCCTAACATCACGATGCTTGTGGATAGATTTATATTTGGGGATGATGGTTCTTAATGTCACTAACCAATTTGCTAAATTACAGCAGAAAACATTTTTAAAAGAATAAACACGCCAGATAATGATTTTCAAGTGTGTACATTCAGCCTCTGGCTTTTTATTATTATTATTTTTAAATGCACAAGACCTTTATCTTTTGCATAAGAAAAACGCTGCCAATGGTAATTTTCAGTCTGGAAAATGAGAAAGTTAGATCAGATCATTACTCTTCACTCTGTCACCTTTTTTCTTGCCAATAACCTGTCAATCACACAGAACATCATCAATGCCATAAAGGAACTCGGCCTCCGTGACGCTGCCCGCTCTCTTTCTCCCAGATTAAGCTTTCATTTAGCAGAGCAAAACAGAAGGAACTAACAGAACTAACCTTCTGCAGTGCCTCTGGACATACCACTACAAATAGTTATGGAATCTTTACAGCAGTCCTCAAGCACTTAAAAAAAGAAGACAGTCCTCTCTTCAGGCCATTTCTGAGCCTCCTTTGCACATAAACGAATGCATGCAGCTCCTAATGTTTCAGAAGAGAGCAAACTTGCCACCAGCTAAATGAATGCCAAGTGAACACTGTTCACCAAGCAGAGCAGTAAAACACCTGCTATAGGGCAGAGCATGCAAGCCAGGCACTTGAACAGTTAAAGTTTTAATGTCCCTAAACTCTGCAGTCGTCTAGCCATAGGCAACTGCCAGAAAAGCAGCAATGCTATCCATCATTTTCAGGAACAGTTCAGTTACCCAAAATTATCTTTGAATTCTATGCATCTGGAATATCCCCTACAAGCAGACATTATAAAGACAGCATTAACGATTAGGTTTCATACGAAGACAAGCCAAAGTACACCAACCATCGTGGGAGAGAGAGATTCATGAATCTGACCACTGAGAAAGCTGTAATTCATTTATAACAAAGATGAAGTAAAAGCAGCATTTATTAAAACACAATTAACTTGAGCTGGAAACTCTCTGTAAACTCCAGACTTGCTCCAAGTCACAGAAGATATTTATGCAGAGTTTGTGGTGCTCAGCCTTACCTACAGAATCTGCCTTTCAGTTGGCTGACAAACAGGAAAAGATGAATTACAGCTTTCAGACCAATTGTATCAACCAACTTA